TAACACGTCAAGTTTAGGGTTTAGGGTTTAGGGTTTAGGGTTTTGGGTTTAGGGTTTAGGGTTTTGGGTTTTGGGTTTTGGGTTTAGGGTTTTGGGTTTTGGGTTTAGGGTTTAGGGTTTAGGGGTATGGTATTTCAGAATATTGTTGGGACTGTAAGGGAGGAGGATTACTACTTCTTCAGTCCGTGACAGGAAACCTTAAAGCAGTCTTTTTGGAAAAGCAACTAAATTATAGTAGAGCTCCTGGCCACGCCTACTTACATACTTTGGCTCAAGCTCGACAATTGCAAGCCCTGGAAATTCGAATAGTTCGGGCTCACCGAGGTTGTGGGTTCGCGGTTTCGGGATCAGGGCCAGCGCTTAAACATTTGGAGGTTCGGGAGTTAGGGCTTCAGGGGTTTATTTAGGGCCTAAACCCTAAACCCTAAACCCTAAACCCTAAACCCTAAACCCCTAAACCAGGACTTAGTATGTTCTGTTCACTGTAGATTCTATCAACCCCTACCTGCGGCTCCAATGACGTACTGTCTTGAGGGCTATAGGGTTTAGGGTTTAGGGTTTAGGGTTTAGGGTTTAGGGTTATATACCTAATATTCAGGGCCATGCGTCGTAACCTGGTGCCCTAAACCACTAGATCCCATGGGCCCCTAGTATGGGCCCTTAACCCTGGGACCCTGATATACCTACTATATATCCTATATATACCCTTAAGGGACCCTAGAATCCCCTAAGGGCCCATGTTACGGGCCCATGGGTTCAACCTTACATATTTCATGCCAATAGAGCCCGAAACCGCTGGGCCCTGCGCCCAATGCGAAGCTTCCGCCGAGACCCCGCCGAGGGCGAAGGGGGCCGGGCACCATCCGGCGCCTCAACAAGGGACTTATTCAGGGCTTTAGGGTTTAGGGTTCTAGGGTTATGGGGTTTTAGGAGTTAGGCTTTAGGGTCTAGGGGTTCAGGGTTCTAGAGTTTGGGGGTTTTAGATTCCTCCGTATAGGGCGTTTTGGGCTGAGGGTAGCTTGCTTGCTGTGATCTGTGATCTTCCGAGTTCAAGCGTCGGATGATGCTTCACAGGGTTTACTGCGCACCCTTACACCCCCCCCTGCCCCCAAGAACCAACTGAACCCAGGAAGCCAGATTCTCTAAGCTAAACGTCATGCCGCTGATCCAACTAGTAACTTTAACAGGTCAAGCTCTTCCAATAGTTACTACCTATAGGCTCCATCGTATTTTTTGTGGTTTATATGTAGGATCCTACAAGGTAACCCCAAAGGAACTACAATGGAGCCTATGGGTAGAGCGCACCATACCCTTGCTAAAAGAAGATGCTCTCGCATCCGAGTCGTGGTCTAGGCCGTGTTTCTTGAGCATTTAAGGACTGACTTTAGGAGGGACCCCTAATAGGGACCCTTAATCCCATTACCTTAAATAACCATTGTATAGTCCTTATATACCCCTTAAATAGCCAGGTAGTCTCCATATTAACCCCAATAACCTACAAGGTCCCGATTAAGCGTCCCTCCTAAAGCCCCTAGAGCCCTAAACCCTAAACCCTAAACCCTAAACCGAGTAAGGGCTGCAAGTACCGGCCTTCCAGTGGTACTTCGCCATCAAATATGCCGAACGGGAAATCGATCGGGCCCGAGATAATGAAAGCAGGACTTGCTGTATATTCTAGTATGAATGCAAAATGATGCAAGAACCCTAATCAATACTACTGGTATCAATACTGGTAGTGTGTAATTTCTAAGCAGAAGACCCAGAGAAAAGAAGGGCATCATGGTACGACTGGGGGTCATGGGTCCTGGGGATTAGGGTGTAGACACCCTTAAACCAAGCGCTGAACCCTAAACCCCAAACCCTAAACCTCAAAATCCTAAGCCCCTACCTGTAACTCTCTTTACCTGCAGTTTAGCAGGCATTACCTCTTTAATCAGTAGGTAGAAGCCATAAATCTGTAGGTAGAGACCCACGTAAACCCTAAACCCCAAACGCCTAAACCCTAAACCTAGACCCTAAAACCCTAAACCCTAAACCCTAACCCCTAAACCCTAAACCCTAAACCTCAACCCTAAAAGCCTAAAGCCCTAAACCCTAAACCCTGAAACCCAAAACCCTAAACCTAGACCCTAAAACCCCTAAACCCTAACCCTAAACCCTAAAAGCCCAAAGCCCTAATTAAACCCCCTTGCTGGGCCTCGCCGTAGTGCTTCATCCCGGGCCGTAGAGCGGGAGGCCGGGGTCGGGGAGCTGGGTAGAGGTAGAGGTCCTCTTCGTCTTTCCAAGAGGGTTCGCGTCAAGAAATTGGAGGTCTAAGGGTTGAGGGGTTTAGGGGTTTAGGGTTTAGGGTTTAGGGTTTAGAGTTTAGGGGTTTAGGGTTTTCTGCTTTCCAAGAGGGTTCAGGGTTTGGAGTTTAGAGTTTAGGGGTTTTACGGTTTTCTTTCTTTCTTTTTTCCAAGCGGGTCCATATATACTACTATTATAGGGTGTAAGGTTTTCTTGATTCCAAGAAGGTCCATATATATATATATATTACGGAAAACCCGGTTTAGGGTTTATGGTTTAGGGTTCAGACTAGTATTGTGGAATGAGGTCCCGAAAACCATAATAAGGATGGTATCTTGGGACCTAATTCCACAATGGTACCGTATGTGAACCCTCTAGGTTGTAAACGTTCACGGTTTCGGGTTCTTGGTCTAGGGTTTAAGGTTTTAGGTTTAGGGTTCGGGGTTTAGGGTTCCAGGTTTAGGGCTTAAGGGTTTAGGTTTGGGGTTGAGGGTGTTAGGTATAGGGCTTTCGGATGATAAGCTTTATGGCGTCAGGGCTTCAAGGCTGTATAGGGTTTGGGGTACAAGGCTTTAGGGTTTAGGGTTTGTGATTTTAGGGTTTAGGGCTTATGGCTTTTTAGGGTTTCCCTAAACCCTAGACCCTAAACCGGGTTTAAGGATCCCTAAGCCCTAAACCCCTAAACCGGGTTGAAGGACTTGAAGGTTTAGAGTGGGGGGCGCAGGTCACTGTGTCGCGCATGCGAAGCTTCTGTTTCCGGAAGCTTTATGAAAGCTCGTTGAGGCTCTCCCTCTGAAATGGATGTCTAGGGTTCCGGGCCATTTAGGGTTTGCGTTCATGACCCCGAAACCTGAAGCCCCTAAATCCCTAAACCTTAAACCCTGAACCCTAACCCTGAACCTTAAACCCTAAACCTCAAACCACCCTAAACCCTAAACCTCAAACCCTAAACCCGAACTAAGTCTTTTCCCAGGCTTTTGGGGGCTTCGGGTCGTAAATAGTGGAGGAAAGGTCTCGTCCCAGAGACTCTCAGAGCGCTAAGCCTGTTAAACAACCCTACTGCAGGGGCCTTAATCATACGGTTTTGGGGCCCATTATACTATAATTAGAATAAGGAGCCGCCAACATACTATAGGTAATCACTGGGGCTACTACAGTAACCTCCCGGCCTTAATGGGGTTTAGGGTTTAGGGTGGAGG